AAAACCTGATATTCTCACAAATCCCTGTTGTGCTGCATCTTTAAACAATGTTCACTGACTTACTGACCATCCAATTTGCTCCTTCTGTTAGCTACAGACACAGAAATGGCACGTCCTAAGGAAAGCTCATTGTGGGACTGGCTCGTAGTGGCTGAAATTCTGCACCAAGGCTGAATTTCGGGAAAGAGACTTCAGATACAGTACTAGGGACCACTTAGGCCTATATAAAAGCATCCAAAAAGCAGCATGTCATGGGACCTTTAACCGTGACCATAAAAAAGCGACCAAACTGATGATGTTGAATGAGATACGAGCTTTATAAACGCACCAAAGCAATAAATTAGCCAAGGACAATCTGAGGGGCTTCCACGCAAATCCAGATTAGTGTCTCTCTCTTCCCAAACCATTGTGCGACCTCAACACTTTCACACATTGCTGCCCACCGAAAGCCGTTGACCTTTTCTGCATGGCAGGCGTGTCCCTTCTGCAGTCATGTCATATTGAGCTCTGTTGTGTGGCTGTGCCGCTGTAGCCCGGGGCCCTGCAGCCTCTGTGCACTGTCCACTAATAGCCTCCTGTAATTGAAGAAGCGGCTTTCAGAACTAATGCAAGCAAACAGGCCGGCAGAGTGGAGGGGGTAGGGCTGCAGGTGCCTTCCTGTGACCCTTCCTATATCAGGGCAGATTCTGGGCAGCTTCCCCCTTCGTTCCAGTGTTTATGTTCCTGTTTTGGGCTTTTTCAGGCCCATTGTTACCTGACAGTGTCTCCGGAGCTTGCCGGTCATGGGCCGCTAGTCAGCTTTTGTAGGTGAGAACTAAAGCTGATAATTTTGGGAAAAGCCATAAATTGTATGTGGGACTACAAAAAAAAAAAAAAAAGTAAAACAAATGATTCATTCTCTAATTTAATAAAGCATTTAATGCCAAATTCTTGGGTTTGATTCCCAGGAAAATCAGGAATTTTGAATTGTGACACTGAAGCACTCAAAATAATCCTCAAAATTCTGCTTACTATAATGCACATCAATGTTTGAATTTTTTAGTAAATTAATTTTATAAAATTTGCAGTTATTTAGTAATACAGTGCTTTTTAATTGTAATATTGTAATATGTATTTAAAGTTTAAAAGTTTGGGGTCAGTAAGATGGTTTTTTTTAAATAGTCTCTTACGCTTAACAAGGCTGCATTTATTTGTTTCTGCTTTATCAAAAATACAGTATAATTTGCCAGTTTAACAGTTAAATGTAAATACAATGGAAATGTATTTTAATCCTTTAATGCAAAGCAGCATAATTCCATTTTGGTAAAATACATAATTACAAATAAATCACTCGTACTGACCCCAAACATTTCGACAGTATAGCATAATGATAGGGAGATATTAATTGTGAAGCGATATTTGTTTTCCGACTCTTAAATATTACATATAGGTGACAATATTTAATAATTTGAGCAAAGGCAACTGTAGAGAGAGAAAGTTTGGAGTCAGTTATTTGATGAATTTGCTGTCACAGAGTTGGACTAAAGCAACAGCATGAAAAGGTCCCACGTAACTCCGTCTTAATAATTACAGACGGAGAGACAGAGAGATGAGTGGTGGGGGGCGCACAGGAAGAGAGCGGCAGTCTGCTCCTCATTAGATCTTCAATGCGTGTGTTCTCCTTCCTGCGACAGGTTGGGCCCCTGTCAGTTGTTTTGCAAAGCACCTAGGGTGTTCCTTAAATTCAGCCCGTGGAAAGACATTACTGAGACATGTGGAGACAAATAGCACGACAGAGCGCAAATCTCGATGCGATTCAGTAGCGAAAACATCTCCAGGGCTATCAGCAGCCATTAGCGTAACGTTCTGGTGAATTACGGAGAAGATTACGGCGACGCCGGACTCCTCTGTCATTGTCACACAGCCGGTGACAAAACAGTTTGCGTTACCTGCTTAAGCACGGCAGACATTAGCACCTCCCTTCCAGGTACAGTAATCAAGAAGGTGACGGCACGCAATTAATGAGGTCCATCTGCAGCAGTGCCTATACATAATTAATGAGCTCATTATCCACACACTTTGACTTTAGGCCCCTTCGCTAGACATAGGCTACACACTATAGGAGTGCAGTTAGAACATAAAGCCTATGTGGTTGTAATCACCATCATAGAAATGTTTCTCAGCAAAAGACCCACAACCTACGATGTAGCCAACCATACTGTACGTGTTTGTTAAATGCAAGTGCTTATTTTTATTCAGTGGCCGCTGAATGCTAGTATGACAATGTGTTAATAATGTAATAATGCTGATCACATGGCCTAGAAGGAAATAAGCTATAATGTGAAGTTAATTAAAGAGTAAAAAATCAGATTAGTTTTTATGATCGCCCCATGAAACATACAGAATTTGATAACGATAAAACCAGGCCATGTGCAAAATAATTTATTGTGGATTGTTTTATTGTTGTAGTGCTCGGAAAAAGAAACTTACATTAATGAAGAATTACCCATAACTGTTTTAGTGTCAGAACGGCTTCTTTACTCTATAAAGAAAAATGTGCTTCATATCAGGAATCAAGTTACTTAAAATTAGCAAATTATTAGCTTTAATAACCTTGTATAGGCTAGATGACAACTTACATGGAAACTGATTTAGGTAAAAATGTATTTTGAATGTTTATTTTAGGTCAGAGTCGGAGTAAAACCCAAGTATTTCTGCTAGTGACAATATTTTTTTTCTTTTGCCATCCATTAATAAAATAAAATAAAATAAGTATTCCATCTTAATTATTATGAGCTCATAAAATAAAAATAAAGGCTAGCAGTTTCAGATAAAGTATAGCAGGACTTAGCAGTATTTGATGTCTTAAATGCTATTAAATACTCGCAATGCATAAAACAAACAGGTTTTTTTCTTTTTTTAATGATAAATTATATGTATTGTAATGATGCTATTTAGTTGGTATTTGATGTGCTGAGGCCAAGACAAAGTATGTCAGTTTCTGCAACACTGTAATATTCATTTGCAATGGTCAGCGCATGTACAGTATTGGCCACAGGCATTCATACAAGCTGCTAAAACTTTTCAAGTTTCCAAGCGTCCTGTGGCTCTGTCTGTACCTGCAAATGTTGTCTATGCTCTCTCCACCCCCATTCTCTGCTAATGAAGGCCTCGTGGCCTCCTGTTATTAAAATAACGCCTCTTTCAGCGATATGAATTGGGTCCATAATAAGGAATGTGCTGGATTCATTATTTAATTGTGAGAGAACATTTGGAATACAGTTTCTGAAATCAATTTTTAATGAAAACTACTACATCCTGGCCTAATCATATCAAGCATATTCTATCTAATTAAGGATGCAAAAAATCATTAGAGTTGCAAAATATTAGTTTCAGCACTGTCTGGCTGCTCCCTCCCCTCCAACATATATTTTTTCTACTGTGTTGATAAATAGTTAATGAGGGAAAAATGACAAAAAATTGCATGTAGGCAAATTAGTTTAATAGGGATATGTCTTTGCTGAGTTGGGAAAGTGACCCTTTTTGCATAGAGAAATTGCCACAATAATTATGAAATAATGGCCTAGCCCATCTTATTTAAATGAAAAATCGTCAGCCTGAATAATGTAAAAATTGTGAAATGCAATAACCCTAAATTTTCATCATGCTGGCAAATGTGTTTAATGTGTTAGCATTTTATCAGTTCAATAACGGCAAATTAGGGCCAATATGAGAGAGGAGGTTATGACTGCAGTTCTGGGATGGAGACCGCTCTAGCTGAAAAAGATTCTGCAAGTGTGTAGGCTAAACGATGCTGTTTTCTTAATTACAATCTAAACAACTGCATCCAATTAGTAGCACCTTCATTACTAATATTTCCACAGCTGTAGCAGTACTTTTTGAATCTAAAACATACACGGGGTCATTGCAAAGGGCTGCAAAAATAACATGATTTGCAAAGGTCTACGATTTGAGCTAGGAATTGCAGAATTCCTTTTTAATGACTTGTTTGACAACCAATAACATTTCTTCATCAAGAGCACTAAAAGAGGAGTTGCCACCCAAGTTGTGAACTCAGTGTGTGTGTGTGTGTGTGTGTGTGTGTGTGTGCTGAGAAATCTGTCAGGACGGTAAGTGAGCCGAAGCTGCAACAAGATGATTGCGGCACTATTTATTTTTTTAATGCTCACACACACACACACACACACACACACACACACACACACACACCCCTCATTGCTCATGCATTACCCTCAGATCGCACACTGACAGGTAGAGGAGCGTTCTTTCTCTACTTCTTTGTTATTAGTGCCGGCCGTTCCCACGTCAGACTGTCAGGTACGGATGTGCAGGAACACATTGGCTTTCTGAT